CCCAGCACCCTCCATGGTCACAGCCCTCCACCAGGCGGCAGGTCACACCATGCCTTCTCTGTCCTCACAGTGGGGTGGTGGGGCTGGGCATGTAACTCATGTCCTGTGTTCCGTGGACACTGGTGCCTGGGTCACACAACAGTGGATGGAGCCTCAGAGCCCCAGGAGCCCTGTGGCTGCTCCTGCCCCTGGGATGGCAGGGCCAGCACGGGGACTGTGGGGCCCAGGAGGAGGGACCCCCCCCGCTCATTATGCAGAGGAGGCCGCAGTCAGGCCGACGGGATGCGCAGGGGAGGATGGGATGGGCAGGGAAGCCATCTCAACAGCTGCAGGAGGCTCCTTCCCAAGGCGGAGGAGCAGGAAGGACGGGCAGGGCCCACGAGGTTGGGCTCTTCCTCCTCCAGCTCAGGAGCCACCGACAGGATATGGCCTTACCTGGGTGGCAACAGGTGACCAGGCCCAGCTCAAGGTCCACTCTCCTCTGATGGTCTCGGTGGATACCGTGCAGCCCTGGGACTTGGCACTGGCTGAGCTGTGTTCTTCCCAGCTCCCAACCCCTGTGGCACCCGCAGTTGTGAGTCCTCAGGTGTGACCTCGGACAGGGTCCATTAGGTGCTTCCCTGGTGCCCGTGCCGTTCTGGAAGCTTCTGTGATCTTGTTTGCTCACAGCACTCCTGCCTGCAGTAACTGTCCCCATGTTAAGATGAGGTACAGGCTGGGGTTTGGAGGTGCCACAGTGGCGTCAGTGTCCCTGGGCCACCTAGCAAACCACCGTGGGCCCGGCAGCCTGAGCAGCAGGCCTGTATTCCCTCCCACCCACTCCGTCTGGACATGGAGATGGAGGGGCCTCTGGGCTATCTTCTTCCTGGACCACTCTCCCTGGCAGGTAGGCTGTGTCCTTGCATGGCTGTCCCTCTGTGCACAGCTGCGTCCTAATCTTCCTTCTCATAAGGACACTAGTCCTATTGCATTAGGGCCACCCCGGTGACCTCGTTTCACCGTACTCACCCGTGCAAAGGTCCTGTCTCCAAACACAGCCTGAGGCCCAGGTGCAGGGATTCCAGTGCTGGGGCTTCCGCAGGCGGATGTGGGAGGCCCTGCTTGGCCCCTGCCCTGGCCTCCCTGCCTGCCCTGTGTCCCTCAAGGTTTCCTTCCCGGTCTGTGCCTGACTCTGAGGCTGTGTTCCGTCTGGGTACGTGTGGGCTCCGGACCACCCGGTAACTGAGTCTGAGACGCAGACCCCCAGAGGACAACTGCTCTGCCACCTCCCGAGGGCTATCTGCCGAGAGCCCTGAGGGGGCCAGGCACAGATGTGTGTCGGAGGTCACAGCTGCCCATCTGATGGGTGCCTGTGGTCCCACCCAGCAGAGCTGCGATGAGCAGGAGCCTCCATGAGAGGCAGCCTCAGTGGCTGACACTCCTGTGGGCACTCCTTGGTGGGACAGCCCCTGTGGCCACCCCTGGCCCTTACCAGTCCCTCGCCGGAGGACTGAGCGTTCCTCCACGTGGTGTCACCAGGCCTGGTCCCTTCGCCACAGCCATGCGGGGTCTGGTAGCAGCAGGGGCAGGTGTGGGCCTGACTCAGCGCTCGCCTCCCCCGAGGCCAGCTTCTGCCGCGCGCCCATCCCCACGTTTACGAGCACTCGATTTGTACTCGTCTCAGTGACAGAAAAACTGATGCTAATGGGAAAAATAGGACTCTCAACAGAAGCCCGCCCAGCACAGCGGCGTGAGTGCCAGGCGTCCTTGCCTGAAACAAACTGCAACTCAGTGCAGAATTCCAGGATTCCATGGCAACTGCTCGTGCCCTGCGCTCCGGCCCTGGCTGGGGCTCGGGAGCAGCCGTTGTGTCACGGGGGATCGACTTGTTTACCGGCAGCCCCAGGCACTCGGATGTGGTATCAGCTCCCCGTGCCTTGGCCCTGAGATCTGGGAGGCCCACTGGGGCCGGTGCTTCCCCCAACCCCACTGAGCATCTCCTCGCCCTGCGCCACCCACCTGCTGCCCAAGACCCCTGAGTGTTCGTGGGCTCTGCCTGGTGGGAGGGTCTTTGGCTTGCAGACAGGGATTGGTTGGCAGCATAGTGTCCCCTAATGATGTCCACATCCTAACGACGTCCACATCCTAGTGGCAGCCTGTGACTACCTAGCTCGGGGGATCCAGGTTGTATTTGAAACGAAGGTTGGATCAGCTGACTTTAAACTAGGGAGGTGACCCTGGAGCATCCGGGGGGCCCAGTGTAATCACAAGTTCTTTAAAAGTGGAGGAGGGGCTGGCGTGGGGCTCACACCTGCAATCCCAGCGCTTTGGGAAGCCGAGGCAGGAGGATCCCCTGAATCCAGGAATTCGAAGCCAGTCTGGGCAACAAAGTGAGACTGAGTCTCGACTCTACAAAAAGTAAACAAAAATTAGCCGGGTGTGGTGGCGCATGCCTGTGGTCCCAGCTACTCAGGAGGCTGAGGTGGGAGGATTGCTTGAGCCTAGGAGGTCAAAGCTGCAGTGGCCATGACACACCTCTGCACTCCAGCCTGGGTGACAGTGAGACCCTCTCAAAAAAAAAAAAAAAAAAAGTGGAGGAGGGAGGCAGGCGGGTCAGGCTCAGTGAGGAGGTGAGGACTGGACCAGCCACTGCTGGCTCTGAAGAGAGAGGAAGGGGCTGGAGCCATGGGCTGCAGGCTGCCTCTGGGAGCTGGAACACGTGAGAAAGGGGTCTGTCCAGGGGAGCGCAGCCCGACCAAATCCTGGATTTTAACCCAGTGAGCCTGAGTCTGCATCTGTGTTGCTCTCAGTGGCCACAGCTTGTGGACGTTGGTGGCTGCAGCCACAGGAAGCTTCGGGCAGAGTGGCTCTGTCATTCTGGGGACACAGGGGCCTCGAGGCCAAGGCTGTTCTCAAATCTTGGCCCTCCGTTCTCTGCTGTGCCCCCGCCCCGGCCACACCCACCCAGCCTCCGTGCACCCACGTGTCCCACGGCAGGCGCTGCTGCTGTCCCCGGCCTGGCTGACCCCCATGCCTGCCCACCCTCTAAGGACCTTGTCAAGAGCCTCCAGAGGTGCTTTCCCGGCCTCTGCCCCTCCCAGGGCCACCCAGGCTGCAGTGACTGGAATAAGGGATGACATGAACACGAAGAAAGCCCTGAAGGGCCATTCAGTGCAGTGCTGAGCGAGAGAGGACGTCCTTGAGGAGGCACGAGCCCTGGTGATGAGGCCATGGTGGGTGGGGACCAGCGGGTAGCAGGTGCCGCCTCTGGGTCCCGCGCTGCCGCTCCCACCGGCCTGCTCCAGGGCGGGACGTGCCTTGCACAGGCAGCACCTGTAGGTCCAGAGTGTGTGGCTCCCCCAGCCCCAACCCACCCCCAGCCTGAGTGTGGGAGCAAACGTCTCTGCACACGGCCTTGGGGTGGTGTTAGGACCCCAGTCACTGCCACCACCCGACAGACGGGGCTTCGGGCAGGTTACTCAATGCCTGAGACCCAACATCTGGTCGGGGCACAAGAGCCTGTTCCCAAGCTCTCCAGGAAGTCACAGTGGCTGACATGACCGTCCCCACAGACCCTTGTCTCCCACTCACCCTGCAGGACCTTGCCCAGGCCTGTTGCCTCTGCTGTGGCTTCCAGAACATTCTCCCCAGCTGCCAACCCCTGCACAGACCTTCCTGCTTGCGAAAAGCCCCAGGGGACAGACCACGACCTGCAGAGCAGAGTGCGATCTAGAAACAGGAGCCTTTAAAGAATTGGCCAGACAGGGACAGGCGTGGTGGCTCACGCTGGGAGGCTGAGGCGGGTGGATCACCTGAGGTCAAAAGTTCAAAACCAGGCTGGCCAACATGGCGAAACCCCGTCTCTACTAAAAATATAAAAATTAGCCAGGTGTGGTGGCTACTTACTCATTACTCGAGAGGCTAAGGCAGGAGAACTGCTTGAACCCAGGGGGCAGAGGTTGAGGTGGGCCAAGATCGCGCCACTGCACTCCAGCCAGGGTGACCGAGACTCCGTCTCAAAACAAAAAACCCAGAAAGAGTTGACCAGAGGGATGTGCAGATGTGATTAGGACTAAGGACCCGCACAAGCCGAGGCGGGCGGGGCCCCCAGGCCTGGAAACACTTCCGGCATCAGGAGGAGAAGTGGTGGTGGGCGTGGCTCAGAGGCCCTGAAGTGGAAGGGGCCACGAGCCAAGGAGAGCGGAGGCCTCCAGAGGTGGGCAAGTGGCTTCTCCCCCAGCAACTCTGACGTGGCCCAGATTTCAACGCAGACTTGAAAGGGGCCTCTGTGAGAGGGTAAC